TAAACTAAAGTCAAATGGATTAAAGATCTAAACATTAAAGCAGAGACACTAAATCTCCTGGAAGAGAAAGTAGGAGGAACTCTTGAAGACATAGGGTAGGCAAAGAGTTCATAGACGGAAATCAAAATGCACAGCGACCGTTTGGAAGAATTAACAAGTGGGACCTTCTCTTACTCAGAAGTTTTTTCACGTCAAAAGAAATTACCAACAAAGTGAAAAGGCAACCCACAAATTTGGAAAAAAACATGACAAATAAGTTCTCAGACAAAGGTCTTCTCTCCAGAATCTATAAAGAACTAAAAAACACTTGGGCTCCAAAATTTAAAGACGCAATCCAGAAATCGGCATCCCAGAAGAACACACACTTCTCAGAGGAATAAATTAAGCAAGCTAATAAATATATGAAAAAATGCTCCACATCACTAGCCATTGGTGAAATGAAAATTAAAACCACATTGAGTTATCATCTCACGCCAGAAAGAATGGCTATCATAAAGAAATCACCCAACAACAAATGTTGGGGAGGCAGTGGGGTAAAAGGAACTCTTCTCCACTGCTGCTAAAATGTAAACTGGTGCAACCGTTATGGAAATCACTATGGAGATTTCTTTAAAAAGTTGGTCTGGAAATCCCCTTTAAACCAGCTATTCCCCTACTGGGAATTTTCCCAGAGGATTTGAAATCATCATATCATAATAATATATGTGTGCCTATGTTTATATCAGCAGAATTTGTGATAACCAAATCTTGGAAACAACCAAGATGCCCATAATCTGAGGAATGGTTGAAAAATATGTGGTATTTTTACACAATGGAGTATTATTCAGCTATTAAGAATGATAAACTGCAAGCCTTTATATTGACGTAGATGCCACTTGTACATATACTCATAAGTAAAATAAACCAGACACCCATGTGTAGATATCATATAGTCTCCCTAGTATAAGAACTCAAAAGTAGAAACACAAATACAAAGATATAATACAAGTAAAAGGAAAGCAGAATCTCAAGGACTAACTAATCAAGAGCAGGAAAGGAGAAGAGCTAGGAAACATGTTAATGTCAAGCCATATAGTTATACGTAAAAATGAGCATGGCAATGATCCTGAAATCTTCAGAACATTTTTTAATCTAGCAATTAATTGGAAAGATTCTCACCCTGACTAACTATGCATACTGATACCTGTGAACTAGGCTACTGCACCTCAGATGGTAACTTGTAATACTAGTTTCATGATTGGAGTGTCTGCCATTCTGGTCTTCTGCATATGGGCTGCTTGTCATGACATGCCAGTTGCTGCTACGATGTCTCTCAGGTAGGTGGATGTTCAAGAAGAAGGGGGTGGTTAAGGAATGCAAGAGACAGGAAAAGGAATATTGTGGGACTGTATTGCTTCAAGGTTGTATATGGTGAGATTTTTGGACTTATGTGCAAACATGAGAAGTATAGAATTCTTTATCCTATTATTAAAATATAATCGAATTTTTAAATGTTTTTATCATATAATGTAGGGACTTAAAGTTCAACATATCAATACTTGATGAAAAATATCTGTTCCTTATTATGCCTAAGATGTTTGATATGCAGAGAAATAGTGAGGTTATGCTTAATAGCCTAAGCTGTTTAATAATAACAATAAGTTTGTCTTCTGGATGGTTAACAACCTAAGTTTGCAGACCAATATTAGAGAAAAAGGAGGGCTACAAGGAAAGCCAACATTTTGGCCCTAGCCTTCTAAGGTCAATTAAGACTCAGGACATATGAGAACTGGTACTGTAACGTCACGTAACTCGGTAGTGTCCCAAATTTTCTGATCAAGGAGCTTATGGGACCAAAGAGGATATTGATTGATGATGTAGAGTGTGCCTAAGGAGAGTCATATGGAGAGAAAACACTCTCTCAGGCTTTAACAGAGAGCACATTGGCCAAGCAATTTCCGTGACTCATTCACATGGCTTACACTGACAAATTTTCTACATTCTGAGGTAGAGGATCTCAGGATAAATCCTGAGGGGATTTCACTGACCTTCTCAGTACCAAAGCTATAACTCTTGTTGCATAGTTCCTGCTTTACCTTGGTCTTAACTATCCAGTAGAAAAGTATGAAGACAAAATATAGGAAGTAAAGCCATGCTTTTATGTTGAGCTGTGGGGGACTCAGGTCAACAATTTCTGACATTGCCAGTTAAACAAAAGTCCCAGTGCTATTATGGGTTACTGGACGCTCTTAGAATATTTTGATGAGTTTACACACCTATAATATTCAAATAACGGAACTTAACAAAAAAAGGGTATACAGATGAATGTCTATTTTGTATCTGTGTATTCAAAGTTGTTAGGATAGATATATAGTTACATTCTCTTAATGAATAGAATGATTTGTTCTAATTGTGTCTGTAAATTGGATCTCAAGTCCGCATCTGTAACAGCAATGGACCACTATGAAGAATGTATGCTGTGTGTTAATTATTGAAACTGTCCTAGCGATTTGATTTGAAACTGTCTCATTGCTGTTTGTTAATCAATAAAATTATGAAAAAATAGAGTTTTCTTCAGTCCATGAAGACTCATCTCCCCTCCCATGGGCGTTGGTGGAGGCCGTGGGGCAGCACCAGTGGGTTAAATCGTTGGGGAGGAGTTTGGTCCTCGCGCGCTTCACCAGATCGATTTCTGACCTCTTTGCTGTGAATGGCACAACTCACACAGCAACGCAGCTTCACATACAGCTTGGGAAGCACATAACCGTCAAATACACTTGCTTCGGCAATGTCCCTGATGGCGGCAGCCTCCACAATGTTCTGAATGACAAACTTCTTAATAGCCTTATCCTTGGGTACGCACCAGGTGCAGTTCATGCAGCGAATAGGCTGCACATAACCGCGGCCCTTTTTGGCATGACCATTGTTCCTTCTTTTTTTCATCATCTTGGAATGGAGGACCCAACAGAGGAGTTTTTGTTTCATTTTTCTGGTGCATGTATTCCTTCTGAGGAGTTAGCTTAGGAAAAAGTTAGACTGAGCTTAAAAAAGAAAGTCGTAGATCTCAAAACCAGATTAGCTAATGTAATTTATTATTACTAGACAATAGTTAAAGATTTTAAATGGCTTGCTTAATCATTCATTTGCTTATAAATTAATTTATATGTGCTTTTATAAGCACAATGACCTCCATAAAAGGTCTATGACCAGATTTCCTCTGCTTTTCTTACTCCAGTCTCCCAATTTGATAAGGATTTGCTCAGTTCTGAGAATGTTCCTTAGAATGTTTCCAAATTGCTAAGAAGCAAGGTAAGAGGGCTGGGGACATGCCTCAGTAGAATAAGTGCTTCCCTGGCAAGTGCAAGGCCTGAGTTCAATCCCCGGTTCTGCAAAAACAAAAAAAATTGAAAAAAAAAAAAAAAGATTTCCTGACAAATGCTGAGGGCACCCTGTTTCCAGATGGAAGTAGCCTTTTTAGGAATGAAACAAAATAAGAAAAAGAAGTTTACATCTTCTGCCTGAAGTTTCTCAGTCCTGCCACATTCTTGGTACCTTCGTAGGAAGTTTTAGGATGGCCAAGAACAGGATTTGCCCTTAACAACCCAGCAGTGCTAGGGCTGCTAGGTGATTTTGACACAGGGAAAGCCACCACCAATCAGAGAGAAGTTCCAGAAATCTGTGACACAACACTACAAATAGGAGACCCCCCCAGCCTAAGCACCTCCTCAGCATTTGTAATGGATCAAGGGGATGACATCCACCACTCCCACTATGGTCAAATCCATCATTAAGTGGTACTTCAGAAGACATCCAGCACCAATCTCCAGAAAGAAGTCATGTGTCAGCACCAGTTCTGGCCACAGAAATTACTCCCTCTATGTCAATAGTGTCCTAAAGGAAGTTTTTCCCCGGAGGACCATATCATTGTGCACCGTGGACATCATGAACACCCTCATCAACAACATGCTTGAGCACATTGCTGTGGAAGCCCACCAATGGATGCGTTCCAGAATCTGCTGTACCCTCACGCCAGAGGACGTACAGAAGCCAGTGCATTTTCTGTTGCCTGGGAAACTCGCTAAGTATGCAGTGTTTTTTTGGAGTTGAAGCAGTCCACAGATATGTCCATTCTTAAACTCCACACACCATCGAATCTTGAGTAAAGTAAATCAAACATAACCCCCAAAAAAGAATGATAAACTTGAAGCCTTTATATTGAAGAGGGTGCCACTTGAACATATGCTCATAAGTGAAATAAACTGGACACACATGTGTAAATATCATATAGTTTCCCTACTATAAGAACTCAAAAGAAGAAATACAAATAGAAAGGTATAATACAAGTAAAAGGAAAGCAGGATTTCAAGGACTAACTAATCAAGAGAGGTACAGGAGCAGAGCTAGGAAACATGAAATTGTCAAGCCATACCGTTATATGTAGAAGATGGGTAAGGCAATGATCCTGAGAATCTTCAGAATATTTTTGAATCTAGCAGTTAATTGGAAAGATTCTCACCATGACTAACTATATATACTGATACCTGTGAACTAAGCTACTGCACTGCAGATGATAATCTGTAATAGTAGCTTCATGCTTGGAGTGCCTGTCATTCTGGTCTTCTGTATATGGGCTCCTTGTCATGACATGCCAGTTGTTACTATGATGTCTCTCGGGTAGATCATATTTCAAAAAGTAGGGGGTGGTGATTGAAAGCAAGAGACAGGAAAAGGAATATTGTGGGACTGTCCAGCTTCAAGGTTGTATATGGTGAGATTTTTGGACTTATGTACAAACATGAGAAGTATATAATTCTTTACGCCTATTTTTAAAATATGTTCTAATTTTTAAATGTTTTTTATCATATTATGTAGGGACTTAAAGTTCAACATATCAATACTTCATGAAAAATACCTGTTCCATATTATGCCTAAGATGTTTGATATGTAGACAGATAATGAAGTTAAACTTAACAGCCTAAGTTGTATGGTAATAACAATAACCTTGTCTTCTTAATGGTTAACAACCTAAGTTTGCAGACCAAAATTAGAGAAAAAGGAGAGCTGCAAGGATAGCCAACATTTTGGCCCTAGCCTTCCAAGGTCAATCAAGACTCAGGACATATGAGAACTTGTACTGTATCCTCATGTAACTCAGTAGCATCCCAAATTTTCTGATCAAGGAGATTATGGGGCAAAAGAAGAAAGTGATAGATGATTTAGAGTGTGCCTAATGAGAGTCACATGGAGAGAAAACATTCTCTCAGGCTTTCACAGAAAGCACGTTGGCCAAGCAATGGCCGTGACTCATCCACATGGCTGACACTGACAAAGGTTCTGCAATCTGAGGTACATGATCTCAGGATAAATCCTGAGGGGATTCCACTGACCTTATCAGACCCAAAATCTACAACTCTTTTTGCATATGTCCTGCTTTACCTTGGTCTTAACCATCCAGCAGAAAAGTATAAAAACAAAACATAGGAAATAAAGCCATGCTGTTATTTTGAGTTGTATGGGACTCAGGTCAACAATTTCTAATATTTCCAGTCAAGTGGAAGATCCAATACTATATGGGCTGCTGAACACTTTTGGAATATTTTTCTGAGTTTACACACATATAATATTCAAATAACGGAGCTTAACCAAAAACGGGTATGCAATTGAATGTCTATTTTGTATCTGTGTTTTCAAAGTGGTTAGGCCAGATATATAGTTGCATTCTCTTAATGAATATAGTGATTTGTTTTAATTTTGTTTGTAAATGGGATATCATGTCGACATCTTGTACAGCAATTAACCACTAACAAGAATGTATGCAATGTGTTAATTATTGAAACTGTCCTATCAGTTTGATTTGAAACTGTCTCATTGCTATTTGTTTCTCAATAAAATTATTGGAAAAATACATAAAAATTAAAAATAAATAAAATTACACATTCCAAACACAGATTCCAGAAATACCAAATGTATGATGAATATAAGTTGGAAAAATTCATGGACAGATAAAATATCATTTCTCAGTTAGAAGAAAAAAGACAATAGTCGTGAAAGATTTGTTCAATGTACCTCAAGAATACAGATTAAAACAATTCCAGAGGCTGTATGAAAATCCTGATCACAATTAATGTCTCAGGGAAAACTCAGATATTCATGAAAACTGTAATCATCTATTTTATTAAGATTATTGGTACTTTTGGGGTGTAATTATGATCCATTCAATTGCAGGGAACTTGTAGCTCTACATGATAAATCATGATACCTTTTTTCTTTATCCATTCTCCTCCCTGCCTTCAACCTCCCTTGCTTCCCTTATTAACAAATGTTTTATTTCCATTATGTTATTTTTTCCATTATTTTATTTTTATATCACTTTTTTGTCTTCTATCCTTCTTCCCCATGCACCATTCCATTTTCCATTTGAACAATTTCTTCCTATTTCAAAATTCATATTATATATTTTGGTTCTTATTTACACTTTTACTTTCTCACAACAGAGAGAAAATGCAATATTTACACATGTGTATTGATTTACTTCACTAAAATTATGGTCTCAAGGTTCATCCATTTAGTTATAAATGTCTCTAATGTATCTTTCTTTATAGCTGAATAGCATTCCATTGTATAAAAACCCCACGTTTTTCTCCAGTCTTTGATTGATGGACATTTCTCTTGTTTCCAAGATTTAATTATTATAAATTGTGCTGTTATAAACATGGGTGTATTTATTTCTTGTGTTATAATGTTTTAAATGATTTTGGGAAGATACCAAGGACAGGACTATCTGGGTCAAAAAAGAACTTTAGTTTTAATTTATTGACAAATCTTCACCTTGATTTTCACAGTGTTGTGCCAGTCACACACCCACCATGAATAGAGAAGGGTTTCTTTTTCCTCATAGCTGCACCAGCATTTGTTATGGGTTTATTTATTTATTTATTTATTTTTTGGTACTGGGGATCAAACTCAAGACCTTGCGCTTGCCAGGCAGGTACTTATGCTGCTTAGCTATATTACAGGCCCCTTGATTTTTGAATGATAGCCGTCGTTTCTGGAGTGACATGGAATCTCAGTCTTGTTTTAATTTGTATCTCTTGAATAATCAGTGATGTTGAACAGTTTCCATGTATTTATTTGCCATTTATACTTCTGAGATATGTCTGTTCATTTCACATCTCCATTTATGTAATGTGTCTTTGAATTTGGGGGTCTCATTTCTTTTACAATTATTCATACGTTCTCAATATTATTCCTCTGTCTGAAGAACTAGCAAAGATATTTTCCTACACTGTGGGTTGTCTTTTCACTCTGTTGTTGATTTCTTCTGATGTGCAAAACTTTTTAACAAGATGATATCCCAGTCCTTGATTTCTAGTAGTATTTCCTTTGCAATCAGTTTTGATCATGGAACCTTTGCCTACACCTGTCTTCAAGAGTCCTGCCTGTTCTATCTTCTAGATCATTTAGCGTTTCCTTTTTAATATTTAGATCTTTGATCCCTTTATGTTTTACTGTAAGGGCATGATGGTATACATGGACCTAATTTTATTTTTTGGCATATAGAAAGCCAGTTTTTCCAACATCATTTATTAAAGAGGCTATCTTTCCTCCAATGACAATATTTAGCCCCTTCCACAAAGATGAGGGGGCTGAGTGTGTTGGAAGTTGTTTCTGCATCTTATAATCTATTCCACTGGTTACCAGGCCTTTTTTTGCCATTATAGTGCTGTTCTTAGCGCAGTAGCTCTATAGTATAATTTTAAGTCAGGAATTGTGATGTTTCCCACCATACTTTTTTTGTGCCTAGAATTACTTTTGCTATTTTAGGTCTCCTCTGGTGTTTAATGAGTTACACGAATGTTTTCCCTATTTTCTTGAAGTGGAATGAAGGCTTTAACACCAGGTTTGCATTAAATTGTCTATAAAAACTTTGGGAGTATGGCCATTTTCATTGTGTTTTTGTCTCTCTACCCAAGAATAAGCGATATCTTTCCATTTCCTGACATTATCTTCAATCTCCCATTTAGAGTTCTATAATGATTTCAAAGTAGAGTACTTCCTAGATTGATTACAAAGTATTTATTTCAGTGCTATTATGAAAGACACTATTTCTGTAATTTGTCTACCAGTCAATTTTTTAATATGTATAAAGGAATTTTATTAATTTTTGAATGCTGACTTTATATCCAGATATGTGACTGAATCACGTTACTAAATCTAAAACTCACTTTTTTTCTAAAATTGTTTTATTGGAATTTTTATAGTCTCTATATAGAGTATCATGTCATCAGCAAACAATGACAATTTTACTTTTTCCTTTCCTACCTTTATTCCTTTTACTTTGTTTTTTTGTGTAATTGCTTTGGTTAATGTTTCTAGAACTGTATTCAGAGTGCTTGTAGGAGTACTTGTCGTGGACATACCTGTCGTGTTCCTAATTTTTGAGTTAAAGATTTCAGTTTTTTTTTATCATTCTGAAAGTTGTTGTCTGTTGAATTGTTATGCCTGGCTTTTATCAGATTGAGATAAGCACTTTTCCATTTTTCTATAGGGTTTTGAACATGAATTGATGTTGGATTTTATATGCATCTGTCTTAGTTATTCTTCTCTCACTGCTGGGACAAATACCCGAGATCCAAATTGAAGGAAGAAAAGGTTTATTTAGCTCACAGTTACTGGAGGTTTCAGTCCATACTCAGTTGGCTCCAAGGTTGCCTGGCACATGGCAGAGAGCAACTTTTCAGGGTGGCAGCAAAGAACAAGAACACAAAAGGAGGAGTAGCAGCAGCTCAAGCATCTAGCTTTTCTTTCTTCCTTACATTGGAATGCAAATTAACCGCCCAGGGCAGGTGCAGCATCCACATCCAAAATAATCAGTTACAAACTCTAGAAGCCTCCCCAAGACTGCATGAGGCTTTGGGGGGAGACCTATACACAAACCATAACAGCATCTATTCAGATGATTGTATGTTTTTTTCCCTTGGTTCTGATAATATGGTGTATTACATTTATTTGCATATGTTGAACAATTTCTGAAACCCTGGGGTGAATCTTCCTCAGTAATGGCATATAATCTTCATGAAGTTTTCTTACATTCTGTTTCCTAGTAT